ATCAAACTGTGCAAACAGACTACGTGTCTGGTACATTTATACAGCAGGCTACAGCCGTATATACTCAGAATCGAGCTTTCTGACTCCTCTGGGCATCAGCTTGCCATGACGGCCAATATCTGCACAAGCAATATCACACAAGACTGTTGGCGAAGTCTCGTCTGAAGATTGCTTGGACCGTTTCAGTACAATGGCATGCCACTGCACAGAGAGCTCCTCTTGAACAGGCTGCTGCTGAACAGCAGGGGGATAAACACAACCTTCTAGTGCTGTGGCGCGAGCTCACGTCAACCTGTTTCAGTCCATGGGAGAAGGACCAGGCCCTGCTGCTGCAGGCTGGGAAGCTGGTTATTTTTTTGCAAAAGAATGGATCCGAACCGTGTCCGAACGTCGTCACCGGCAAGAAACAACAGGAGGATTGTGCCCGGAATCTGGCAGTCCAGGGTGACATGTATACTTGTCTCTTTTTACTAGAAAAACAAGGTGCATCACTTGCAACTGGGGGAAATGAGACCGGCAGACTGCCTCGATTGTCATGTTACCTTCAAATGGAGCATCAATGAATAAAAAGCAATTTGTTGATCCTGCATGAGGAAACATGCATAAGGGAAAGAGATTAATCCCACACAACCAACTGACTTCATGCTGCAGATATATCAGAGAATGCAAGGAGGAGCTCCTTGTAGGAGCCTGTCCAGGGTCCCCAAAACCAAGGGTTTCACACCAGCGCCTAAATCAGCTCCCTCACAGTCTGCTCAGACAGCGCTCGCCGTGGGTTCCGGCCATAACACCACTATTTGGAAAAGCGGCACATTCCGTATCTATTTATGGTAACACGAGATTGACCCTCATTCTTAAGGGTTTCCTGAAAAGCGGGCTCACTCTGCAGGTTTGCAGGAGTTGGTCACTGGGCAGTCTGGGTGCTCTCCCGCCTGCCTCCCGGCGCGGCTACAGCAGATCCCCGACCCAGACACCGTGGACTGGCCCCGGGATTGAAGGGCTTGCGGGAGCTGCACTCAGCTCTGGAGCCGATTCCTGAGACGCTAAGCCAGAGGTCTGCCAGAGCCGTGGTGCAGGCTGCCCGCCCCACATCACGACCCAGGCCGGCTGCAGGGCGAGGGACGAGCCCCAGCCGGCACCAGAATGAGTAAGCTAACTGACTCTCTCACACTTCCGCACCGCAGCTCCGCGACACATGCGACACATTCCTGGAAAGGGCTGGTGTTTTAGTTGGAATTGGCATATTGCTTTATACCCTACTGCTCCTTAAGAAAAAAAAAATCAGGGTTCTAAATTGCTCTCAAAATGACCAGCCACGGAGCTACAGAGAACTCGACGTCAGTTCCAACGTGACTTAAAAGTGTTCGCTACAACCATAAACAAGGTGTTCAGGTCTCCGATATTAAAGTGAAGGATTCAGAAAAAAAATGCTTCTGACCCCTAGTTTATTGCAAAACAAAGAAGCCCGTTCCATCTTTAAGTTCGGGTCTTCTGCAGTACTTCCTCTGGGGTATTTAAAGAAAACACACCCAACTTTGATATTTGTTAACGCGTGTAATAACAGCCTGCGATTTTTTTTAAAAGTTGTTTTATAAACGTGGCCTGTAAGGCAGGCGCATCCCCGGAGTGGGAAAACGCGGAGGAGACGAGATCGTTACCTTTTCCGAGGTCAGTCCAGGCTCATATTCGGGCTGCGAACTGAGTCTCCGCTGCAGCTGGAGTGCAGCAAACTTCTCGAGACCTCTCCGCTGTCACTCAGCGCATCCGGGGCCCCGGCGGGGCGCCCCACTGACAACCGCTGCAGCCAATCAGAGGGGCAGCCGGAACTGCGAGGTCCGCCCCCTCCCGAGTCCGCTCTGCCTTCCTGAGTCGGGCTGCTCGAGGACCGGATAGGTCACGACAGAGCTGTGGTGGATGTACCAAACTTTGGTTTATGTACCAAAAACATTTTCTTATGAGGACACAGACTCGAGTTAGCTTCTGTTTTTAATGGGTTTTTTTTTATACAAACATGACATAGATGAAAAACGTGGTGGTGCCACGGACCACTAATTTCCACTACCGCTCCGCTGAGTTCGCGGAAAATAGTAGATAATTTTCCTATGAAGTGATTTGTCTGTTTTTTTTTGACGAGATAGCGGGCCCTTCCCGGGGGGGTGTAGAGGAATGAGCCCCCCCCCGACCAGAAAAGGGTCGCGCGCCCAGCAGGGGGCAGCAGACGCGCGCGCCAAAACCCGCCCGCGAGGAGCCCGTGACGACGGAGCGACGCGCCTCGCTGATTGGCGGCACCGGCGGGGTCGAAGGTCAGTGATGTTTGGCGCCATTTCCCCGGCCGCAGAGAGGGAGATAGGCGAGCAGGGCGCTCTTTTCAAACACATATCGATTAAACTATCGTTTTTATGCAGGACGTTGCAGTCTAGCTCGTTGCTTTCGAGAGGGGCCTTTTCTGGTGCTTTTTCCCTGCATGTGCCACAGGCCGACGTTGATGTTGGTGGTGCTGTTTTGTGCTTTACAGTTTGGCCTAACAGGTCACCCATTGCCGCACTGAAACACCATTCATTCCGTTTACAGCGCTGTATTAACCCTGTTTCGGCGATGGCTCCTCTGGGTGTGATTAACGGCCTGCCGGGTCTCTAGGGCGGGCAGGTAGCGTTGTGTGCAGCACTATGTTGGAGCCGGACACGAACAGAAGCGTTTGAAACCGCTGGGGATGTCTGGCTGAGCGGTTCTTAACCTGGGTTAATAGGTGAGCTTTTTTCTTTGTTAGTTATATCTGCATGGGCATATTTATATATATTTACTCTATATAGGCTATATTCTGAAGCTCTAACGTACAAGAATCCAGAACGCTAGAAATCGCAGGGGTCCGGTGAATAGGATCGGGTCCGTTTCTTACTGAGCCTGGCGCAGAGAATATTCTGTTCAGACTGTTGTGCAGAATAAAGCAGTTCTTTTCTGAATAACGGTTTAGCAGCGAGGGTGTTTTTGTCTCTCGAAACATGCTGGCACCCGGCTCGGGTTTGCTCTGTCTATCCGTGTGGAAGATGCGTTTTTGCCCTTTTTTTCCAAGCGGAGGTCTAAGACGCCTTCCCAGCTTGTGTTGTGGTCTCTGCGTGGCCTTGAATTGCTGTCAGTTCCTGGTTTCACTGTGCTTTCAGCTGTCTCTGCTCCGGCGCGTCCAGCCCCGTCACCTTTTAGATAAAAAGCTCAGGAGTTTAAGGATCTAGAGACGGACTGAATGACCGAGCATGAATCTGTAGAGTTCAAACGAATTGTTTTGTCCAGTGGTTTATTAAGCGACACTTGGCATTTAAAAAAAAAAGGTTCCGACTATCTGGAAAGGCACACGATAGTTCTGCCCTGTAAATTCGTTGCTGTTGGACATTAGCGGAAAAACAAGTTATTTCATACTTTATAATATGGATGGTTGTCTATTATTTATATAAAGCTTATTTAAACTATAAAGAGATGGTTTGACATACTAGCAACACGGGGCATAACTGAGTCAACCCCACACCTGTCTGCTGAGCAGGGTTTCCCACATCGGCATAACTGTCAACGTCCATCTGTCCATCCGTCCAGCCCGGCAAGGCGGGCTACACCCTGGCCGGGACGCCAGCCTGTTGCTGGGCGGAGGCACAGCCATGCACACACTCGCCCCAGGGCAGATTGTCCCAGGAGTCAGACCCGCTCAAATGTGGGGAGAACATGCAAACTCCACACAGACAGCACTGCAGGTCTGGACCCAGCGCGGCACGTCGTGTTTATTTTAAAAACCGTGGTCCCCGTTGAATTCTTTGTTGGCTGCTCCCAGGTGTTCGGGCTGGAGAAGACATGGCTGGGGTTGTCGCTATGGCATCTGTTATCGAAGACTTTGAGAAGCAGGTAGGCGCCAGTTTACTCTCCTCTTTTGCGTTTTTCTCTGTTCCTCCTCTCCCTTTCCACTTTCTCTCCTTTGCCCTGGAAAAAGGCTTGTGGGCAAGTCTCAGGACTGCTCGCGCTCCCTGTTGCATGTGACGCTTCCGTGTGGTGGAGATGAGAGCTGCACTGATTTTCTTGTAATAAAATAAAATTAAAGTAAAAAAAAAAAATTGACTTTTTTTTTTGCACCAGCCATGCAAGAGACAAAGAAAGGATGGCGAGACCGCGGCGGCTAAAACGATCACCAGTTACTTCCTGCCCATGCCCAAGGCCGTGGAGAAGCCCTTCTCCCCCCCCAGGTCCAGCAACATCCTGGATTACTTCCGGAGGACCCCTCCGGCCGAGGGCGGGAGCGGGGCGCCAGAGCCGGCCAGGGAGAACGGGCACAAGCCCTCCGAAGCGCTTGGCGCCGGCAGCGGGCGGCAGCGTCTCCGGCGGGGCAGGAAGCCGGGCAGGAGCTTGAGCAGGCAGCTGCAGGACTCCCAGACAGACCGCTCCCCGGACGTGCCGGTGATCTCCGACCCCGGACCAGACGGCTCTGGGGGCACGCCGGCCGTTGGCGGCACAGCGGGGGGTCCCGGCGACGCGGCCCCGCTCCTCGCCGAGACCTGCGCGGAGGCCCAGGAGGGAGAGGCCGGGGGCTCGGAGGTGCCAGAGCCAGTGTCCGTAAGGAGTCCGACGGAGAAATCTAAACCCCCCAAGAGGAGGAGCTTGGCGAAGAAGCCGCGGGGCGCATCCGCTTGCGCAGGAGAAGACTCGGAGGGGAAAGGGAAGAAAGGCAAACCTGACGCCCGGAGCAGCAGGGGAACGAAAGCCGAGCAGCAGCAGCAGCAGCAGCAGCAGCAGCCGCAGCCTTTGGCTGATTCCCAGGAGTCCGAGCCGTCTCTGTGCGACACCAGCCTGGAGGTGCACGTGGACGAGGCCTCCCGGCTGAACGACAGCACGGTCACCATCTCCTTCGAGGACTTCCTGGAGAGCCAGAAGCAGCAGCAGGAGGAGCAGGCGGAGGAGAAGCGAGGCGCTCCGGAGAGCCCCGAGCCTGTGGCCGTCGCCCCCGGGGGAGTGGATGTTCGAGCGGATGCCGACCCCGGCGCCCCCCAGCGCGCATCGCCCAGAACCCTCACTGTCCAAGCGGAGGTGCACCAGGACTCCGGGGGCCCTCGCTCCCCGGAGCTGGCCAGGAGAGTGGCCTCCATCTTTGTCAGGAAGGGGGAGGACGGCGGCGCGCAGGGCAGGACGAGCGAGCCGGCGGAGGCCGAGAGGTCGGAGCTGCTGCCTGCGATGCCCAAGCGGAGGTCCAACGTGGTGCTGGAGGAGCAGGACCTTGAGCTGGCGGTCATCGAGGCTGCCGCCAAGCCCAAGTGCTCCCAGGCGGAGAGGAAGCAGTTCATGAATGCCTTCAAGCAGCCCGCGGGAGAGAGCCTGCGGGGCAAGGCGAGGAAGGGCCCGGGCAAACAGAAAGATGGCTGTGACCAGACGCCGGGGCAGCCGGGAGAAGAGGCCGAGCCGGGGGAAGACCCCGCCGGGGAGGGGCCTTCCCCGAGCGCTGAGGCTCTAGGGGCCGCCGGCAGTGAGGACAAGGAGCCGGGGGCCACAGAGGAGGCCCCTGCGTGCGAGCCGGGGGCCAGCAGGCTGAAGAGAAGGGGTAGGAAAAAGCAAGCCGGGGCTGTCGGAGAAACGCCGGTCATCGCCGCGACCCCAGCCGCTGCAGAAGGAGCCCCGCTGGGCCAGGGCGAGGCGGAGGCGGAGGCGGAGGCGGAGGCGGGTGGGGAGAGCTCCGTCACGCCGCTCTCGACGCCAGTCAGAGGGCAGGCTGCCCGGAGACTCACCAGGGGCAGTGCCCGCCAGTTATCATCGCCCAGCCCGCTGACCTCGCCGGCCCCCGGGGCAGGGGGGGCAGCTTCCTCGCAGGGCAGCCCAGCGCGGGTGTCCACCCCTCGAGCGCACAGCTTCAGGAGCGGGGTGTACAGATCGGAGATGCTCTCGCCCCCTGACGACAAGGAGAGTCCCATCAGGTAACGCGTTGCCACGGTTCCCTTCACGGCGTGTTCGTGGAAGCTGCAGTCTTACTAATGTTACTAGTGCTGAAGACGCCGAGTGGAATGTTTTGTAGGTTGTTGCAATAGGTGCGTGTGTTTGAGCTGATGTTTTAATAAGCTGTATATTTAATTTAAAGCACAGGTGCATAACTTCACTCCTCCAGTGCTGGAATCCAGCAGGATTTCTAAGCTCTTTAAGTGATCAGTTAGTGAAGGCCTTTGAAAAGTGTTGAATTAAGTGCAGCGAAGGTAAAGATGTGGGATGAATACCTACTGACACTGTGGGCCTCCAGGACTATTGTGCACTATTGTTTTAAACTCATGTGGAGTTTATCTTGCACTTTCAGAGTTCTCAGCCCTGGTGCCTCACATGCTCACTGTAAATGGTGTGGGAATGTTTTTAATCTTTAGGATGAGGTTTTCCCGTGTGTATCCTCGTTCTGGAAGGAAGGCTGGCGATGGAAGTGATTTTGAAATGACTCCACTGAGATCGAAGGTAACTTTTTTCACAGATATGTGGTGGAAAATAAGCCAGAATAAAGCTTACTGATATATCCGGGTGAGATGGCTTGGTGAAAGCTGCTGTTACTGCACACAGTACAGCTTGTTGTGTACACTTTGAGAGAAGTACAATATTTCCATACCTGCGAAAGCTGGCAGCTCATGACAGAGCACCGTTCTGCCGTTTTTCCTTTCTCCCAGAAACCTGGCGCTTTGAAGAGCAGGAGGAAAGCCAAAAGACTGGTGGAGAAGGCCAGGGCTCTCCAGCAGAGCAAGAGCAAGGCAGCTCCTGAGGAGAGAGGCACGCCCCGGCGCTCCTCTCGAAACCTGGACCTGAAGAGGAAGACCTACTGCGAGGATGAGGTGGGTGAATCATCCTGTACTGGTTCTGATGGTGTCATTGGGCAGGGGGTTGTGGGTTCAAGTGCCTGTTGCGGACTGCATTAGTGAGGAAGGCAGTTTGCCTTGGCTGCTCCAGTCTGCCCAGCTGGTTACCAGCCCTGTCAGATCGGGGACATCTCCATCCTTCCTTCTCAGTCCTGGCACTGCTGGATTCTTACCTCCCCTGTAAAGCACTCTGTGGCGTGGAAGGGGTTGTGTAACGGTTCCATTTTGTTTTTTATAAACAGGATAATGCTGTCAAAAGCTGCCTGTTTTTACCTGCCCGCTCTGTGTCCACAGGACTCGGTGCTGTTGGTAGAAGATGTGAGGCGGGACAGCGGACCAGCTCCAGCCGCACAGACGCAGCAGCTGCGCAGCCTGAACGACGTGCTGGGGAAGAACACGGCCGCAAGCAAGGCAGCGAAGAGCCCTGCAGGTGTCCCATCTAAGGGTCTTCCCTCCCTGGGTTCCTTAATGCCTCATGTCTCCTTCATCAACACCTTTTCTACTCTTGATCTGAATACTGCCAGTTCTCATCCTCCTGTGTGCCGACAGTATTAACTTGTTCCCCCGAAACCTGACTCTTCAAGGTCTAGTCTCTGTATTGCAATTGCTGCCAACCTCTTAAATAGCTTGAAAGAACTCCTTGCCAGCATTTTATCTGGATGAATTTTATCTGTGCGCTAAGAACACAAGCTTACAGTTGCAGAGGAACCTATCAAATTTCACTGTTGGAGGGGGGAAAATGGCGATTAGTATCTGCAGTTATTTTATTTTTTTCTTATTTAGGGTCAAACGTGGCACCTCTGTTCCTGGGGAAAAAGGCACAGAAGCAATCTGGGATCATCTCCATTTTTGATGACAGCAGGTAAGGCTTGTGCCGAAAGCTTGTTTTTTTTCCCAGAAGTGGTATACATAATTGCGAATCACGATTTAAAACAATCGTGCGTTAAACATAGCTAATTTAACCAGACCCCTCCCCCAGAATCCACGTGCCGTATTAGTTTATTACTTAAACTCCTTGTGCGGCTCTGTGGCTCCAGTGGTTTGTCGTCTGTCCTCCTCCCAGTCGCGACGAGTCCGAGAACTCGCAGGACGACGAGCAGTTCAGGGCCAGGAGGGAGTTTCTGAAGAGCGGCCTGCCGGAGTCCTTCAAGAGGCAGATCGCCAAGATGGCTGCCAGCCGGGAGGCCTACGCCACCTCCTGCGCCTCCTTCCTCCCCGTGGTTCACGTGCTGCAGGAAACCCCCGGTAGGGCAGCCGGCTGGCCGCTCACTCGCGCACGAGTGCAGCTCTGCACTCTCCTCCCCTGTGCGTTGCTGTTTACTTCTCCCTCGCTGTTCCCAGATTGCCCTCTCTGGAGTCTGCCGTGGCCCACGTCTCGGCTCCTGAAGCATCTGAGAGGAGACCCCGGCCCCCCCCAGCCCACAGGGCTGCCCGGACCGCTCGTGGGCTTCAAGACCACGCCAGCCCCGAGAGCAAGGACATCCAGGGTGAGCGCCGGCTGGGCTGGTACAGGTCGAACAGACGCTGCGTCCTGCCCCTTCGCTGCTTTTTGCAGGGCTGGCTCTTGAAGTGAAAGCCCCGTCAGTTGTTGGTTGTTCAGCAGGAGGAGTCTCCTACAAAATAATTTCAATTTCTATGCGTGCTATTTGTGATTTGAATGTCACTAGCACCTCATGGCGTTGAAAGAAACTGAGTGTCAAGATCGCTGCTAAATCTCTTGAGCTGTTGGGGTGGGATTAAACTGGGTTTCCACGCTGGTGTGTTGTCGCAGGGGCCGGGCTGCAGCGAGGATTTCTCAGAGCAGGTTCGGAGGTGCCTGCTGGAAGAGATTAGGGCTTCGAACCCTCTTTTCCCCGTGAGAAGGTTCTTCAACTGGTTCCTGAAGAAACGCAGCGAGCACCTTCTTCTGCAGAGCAGCGACATGGCAGCAGGTCTGTGTGAACCCCTGACTTAAAAAGCTGTGCAGGAGGAGTCCATTGAGAGCAGGCAGAGATCACCTGGGCTGAGCCCCGTCCCGAGTTGAGATGTGCTCATCTGCATGTCATGTTAGTCTCGCCTCTCTGGCAAAACGCTGAGGGTTGAGATGAGTGTGAGAATAAATCGAGCTCTTGTGTGCCGGTGGGGTTAGTTTTAGCTCTGGTTCTGAACCGTACCGGACTCTTCACAGCCTTCGGTTCGTCCTCAAGGTTTCTCTCCTTGCTCTTGCAGCTCCCGGTATGCCCTGCAGTGCCCCTGTCCCCCAGCTGCCCGCGGGGGGCAAACGGAAGTGGGGGGAGGGTGGGGCAGGTGGGGCACCCAAGCGGCAGCGGGCGGCGGCAACGGCGGGGGGGGAGGAGGACGTGATCGTGATCGCCGACGACTCGCCGGACACCGCGCTGGGGGGCGCCCGGACGGGCGGCGCGGAGCTGGCGGGGAGGGGCAGGCCAGGCCAGGCCGCGCGCGGAGGCGCAGGCGGCCGGACCGGGATGGCGGCGAGGCGGTCGTGCTGGACGACAGTCCCACAGCAGGCGCTGCAGCTGGAGAGGGAGACTCGGCAGGTACTCTCACCTACTGGCACAGCAGCTGGAAGACCCCTTCTCTGTGCAGCACAGAGCTGCGCTTGATAGGCGAGCGTTTTGTAAGCCTGTGCCCTTCAGTGTGACGAATTGTAACGTATCAAGAGTTAGAATTAAGTGAGTCACTGTTTGACAGTCACTGGATTGACTTCAGACTTTCAGTCCTCTGACTGTCCTGTATGTTTCTCGCAGGATCAGAGTGTTTTGTATCAGTGGGTGACTATACCTCTGCAGGGGGTCAGTTGTGCCTGTAAAATAACAACATGCAGACCCTGTGCCGAATTATTTTAACGAGCCGTGTGCCGACGCCAGGTGGCTGACGTGCTTGGTCTTGACTGTTTAGATGGTGTGAAAGAAGACGTGTTGTGGACTGAGAAGTACCAACCTCAGCACTCCAGCGAAGTCATTGGGAATTCGGTAGCAGTCAAGAAGCTGCACAGGTACTTGCCACATTTTTTATTTTTTCGCGTCCCGGCCTCAGGTTAAGAGCGCTGCCCTGGGAGCTGGGTGTTATACTGAGCGTTGTGCCGTAGTTGGCATCGCTGCACCAGTTTACATTATATCGGGGCAAGAGGCTGAGCTTCATCTGCATGGGAGTGCTTTTCTTTTAAATGAGGAAAGGGCCTTGTGCTGGAAAGGGCCAGGTCAGTGGCTTGAACTCCTCTGCTCTTACAGAAGCAGGCAGCGTCGCACCTGGTCCCCCTTCCTGTCCCTGCAGGTCAGATAAACTGTAGTCCGGTCGAGGCTGCATGCCTTTCCCCTGCCCCCCAGCGGTGGCGGTGCTGACCTGCGCTGTCTTGATTTCTGTCGGCACAGCTGGCTGAAGGAGTGGAAGCTGAGGGCCGACTGTGAGGAGAAGAAGAAGTTGAGGGAGAAGAGGCAGGAGGACGACAGCGCCGGTGAGGGCCGCTCGCTTTCTGCGACTCGATCGGATCTTGAGAGGGCCCCGGCGGAGGGAGGGAGAAGCCGGGTTTCCGAGTCGTGGTTTGGATTTGGAGCCTCCCGAGTGTCTTGGCCGGGGCTCTGAGGTCTGGGCGGCGCGGGTTCGAGCCTCTGTCCTGCCACCAGGGACGCGCGGTTGGCTGAGCAGCGCAGAGGGTGGGGTGGGATTTTTCAGCCTGGGGTCTCCTGGGTCTCAGTGCCCCCTCTGGGCAGTAGGGGTAGAAAAGCACAAATGTCGCCTGCGGGCTAATTTACCCTGTTGAGCTGGTCCTTTGTCATCTCCAGCGGGGCTCCGTAGCGTTGAAGAACGTGCTGTTGTGCTGGTCTGTCCGCTGACCTGCGGCTGTGTATGTGCTGGGTTTTGGGTCTGCAGACGCGTGGGACTGCGGCGACTTCAGGGGTGAGGACGGCGAGGAGGACCTGCTGTGCAACACGGTGCTGATCACGGGCCCCCCCGGCGTGGGCAAGACGGCCGCCGTGTACGCCTGCGCGCAGGAGCTGGGCTTCAAGGTCTGTGGCCGAGCCGCGGCTCTTTTCCAAGGGGGGGGGGGAGGGCTGTACCGGTCAGAACTTGGAGTCCTGCCTTTGTGGTGCTGTCATTTCCCTTCTGTGGGTTCTAGTTCACTCAGCAGACCCTGCTGTATCTGTATTTCGGTACCTGTTGCTCCTGGTTGCATGAATGCACACTGACTTTGCTGGAGCGTTAAACTGCAGTGGACTAGCAGGCCCACAAGGGGGAGCATCTTTTACAGGTAGTTCTCCATTGGCATGCTTTTGGTTTTGTGCTGGTCCATATTATATACCACTTCTTAATGGCTTCTGCCGTGTAAATCGAGAACCACCTGCGTGTACTCTGTTCTCTTGATGCCTGTGGGAGGGAAGTAAGCTCAAGCCCTCGGTGACGAGCTCTTTAACCTTTCAGTGCACAGCTTTGTTGCAGCACTTGGAGGTGGTGCTCATGATGGGAAGCCACTTGGTTGAAATTAAAAAATCAGACCTGAGCTCAGTCCCTGGATGGTCACACCAGCTGTGTCTTTGTTAAAAGCCCTTACGTGCATGTCCGCTGTCTTGACCGCGCCCTCGCCGTCGCCCCAGGTGTTTGAGGTGAATGCGTCGTCGCAACGCAGCGGCAGGCAGATCCTGTCCCAGCTGAAGGAAGCCACGCAGTCCCACCAGGTGGACATCCAGGGTGTGAACGCGCACAAGCCGGCCTACTTCAACAGCACCAGCACCAGCACCTCTAGGCCCGGTGGCTCTCCAAGTACGTCAGGATCTTTTGAAGCCTTTCTCTCTTTTCTTCTTCCTGAGAGGGCAGGCAGTGTCTGCCTGTGGAGTGGGAGCTCTGTAGATCTGCTGGACACACTGGACAGCAGATCGTGAGACAGGACAGAGGAGGTTTGTTGCCAGTAGGTGGTCCTCTCTGCCCCTGTCTCATGGCGTCCTGCCTCAGGATGTGTCCAGAAGTTTTCACAGTTGCAGCCCTAGAAGCAGTGATCCTGTCTGTTGCTTTGAGCCCAAGTATCAGCCTAATGAATACTACCAGAGGCCTGCATTTGCAGTGTTGATCAACAGAAACTACTCATGCATGGAACATGCACAGTTCCACTCATGGATATTTTCATTTTGTAAAGGAAAGGGAAATTCTCCGAGGAGGGTCGTGTCATCTCCCAGAAAGTCCCCTCGAAGGGCGAGCCCCAAGAAGGGGGGTCTGGCTCCCACAAGTCTCGCCAGCTTCTTCAAGACGGGCGCCAGACTCAAGAGCAAAGACACAGGCAGCCAGGAGAAGCGTGGAGAGAGAGGCGAGTGACGCTGGCACTGTTTCTGGGACACTTAACGATCAAATTCATCCTTGTCAACGTCTAATGTTTTTCCTAATGGTGAAATAATTACTCTTATTGCTTCTGCTTCCCTGTTCGCTCCTGTTGGCTCTGTCAGACAGTGGTTCTCCGAATCCTTTGGCTGATCAGAGAAGCGGCTCTCAAGGCAGAGAGGCTCTGAGCAAACCTGCAGGCAGCAGAGACGGTTCAGCAGAGGAGCCGGGTAAAAAGGCAGCCACGTCCCTCATCCTTTTCGAGGAGGTAAAACGCCACTTTCTTCATCCCGAGAGCAGGGAGTTGTATTTCAGCTCCAACACCTGCTGAGTTTAACATTTAAGAAAGTTTCAGACTGTAGCTGAGGCTGTGGATAACATTTTTACTCTTTTCTACATATCTTTACATATCTAAACATTCAAATGTTTTTCGACATTCTTCTGCTGCTTTTAAGATGCTCCTTGCTTTCATACAGGAGACATGGAAGCAGTTTAGGCTGTACTATCTGAGAAAATTCAGTTAATTTCTTTTTGCCTTGTGTTTATTTTGTGTTCAGTTTGCTTGTAGAGTCATGGGTACCAGTGGACAGCCAGGAATAAGGAGTATTTCTTTCATTCTTCAGTCTGTCTGTTCTCTGCTGTTAATCTATACCTCAGTTATAACTCAAGAATAATCAAATTAATTCCTCAATACTGAACCTGTCTCCTTTCCATTGCCCTGAAGGTTGATGTCATATTTGAGGATGACAGTGGATTCCTGGCAGCAATCAAGACCTTCATGGCCACAACCAAGAGGCCTGTAATCCTGACCACCAGCGGTGAGCACAACCTCCTCTTTGCAGTGACGCCAATTTATTGGGTTTTTTTTTTTAGGAAAGTAGATCAACTTTCCTAAACTTTTTGAAGTTCCATTTTTTTTTCTTCTTTAGATCCAACGTTTAGTTCGTTGTTTGATGGACATTTTGAAGAAATTCATTTTAAAACCCCTTCAATGGTAAGTCCACCGCGCTGCAGGTTTAGCTGCAGGTGTCGATGCTGGGCTGGTGCTGCTGGGGCGGTGGGGTTTTGTATTCTGCTGTAACCATCGCCAAACCTGACTCGATTCCTCCGTCATTCTTCCAGGTGAATGTCGGCAGCTACCTGCAGCTCCTGTGCTTGGCCGAGAACGTCCGAACAGACGCCAGGGATTTTTCCTCCCTGCTCTCCTTGAACAAGTGCGACATCAGGCGGAGCCTCCTGCACCTGCAGTTCTGGGTGCGCAGCGGCGGCGGACGGAAGCTGCACAGGCCCCTCCCCCCTCCAGGTACACCTGCGCGCCGTTCTGTCCTTCAGGGTGACCACGACCGAAATATCATCCCGCTGCAAACTCGGCCCTTTCTGTCAGTACTGCCCATTCTCCAGGTCTGCTCCACACACCTTTCCGAGTTCCTCCCCCGTACGCACTCACCCTCGCCTCGACCTTTGAATTATTTTCTTTTTCTTAGGCTTTGAATGTTACCTGTCACAGGTAAAACGCCTCGCGAGGTGGAGCCCGGCGTGTTGCCTGAGGGGGTCCTCGATTAACGGCTGCGGTGTTTTCTGTGCGGTCCCGGCTCCGTGTGCTGATTGGAAATCTGCCTGTCTTGCTCACAGCTGCCGAGGCTCCGGTGGGGGCGCCGCGGGGGGGCGGAGCCGCGGGGGGGGTAGATGCAAAGGGCGCCGCCCCCCCTCCTGCGCGGGAGACGCCGCCGGGCCTGCCGCGCTGCGACACTGGCTGCACGGAGGCCATGCTGGGCTTGCACAACATCGCGCCTGCGCTTGACCCCCCATCGGTGTTCAAGGTACAGTGTCCCTGGAGCCCTCCTGGGCTGCAGCAGCTTGAACTGAAAGGCAGGAAGCAGACGTGGTTTCTGACCCTTCTGTGGTAGAAGGGCTCCTCTTTCCTCTCTCCCAGCCCTGCGTTCAGTGGGCTACAGCCCTGGTTCCTGAAGTGGGGGGCTGATGCGTGGTCTCTCTGTGGAGGAGGCCCTTCTGGCTTGATGGGGATTCCTGCTGAAACGGGAAGAGTGCTTCTTGCCGTTAAGTTCGAGAAAGTGGTTTTATTCTGAGTTTTTTGGCCGTCAGGTACCAGAATCTAAAACTGGCAGCTTGAGCAAAGTGGGTCCGCAGGGCCTGTTACGCCAGAAGCTGTCACCCTGCAGCTCAAAGCTGGCAGCCCCACTGAAGCCCAGCAGGTGCGAGCCTGGTCAGTACCTGGATGGGAGACCTCTGCTGGAAGAGGTGTTAGTGGGGCTTGTAGGGGGCGCTCACCCTGCGGTCTATGTGGGTCCTAATGCCTCAGTATTAAAATTCCCAGGGCGTTTCTCTAAAGGAGTAGGGGTGTTACCCCGGCGTCCTGGCCAAGTTTCCCCCTGACCTTTACCAATCATGGCGTCCTAATAACCCCCCTCTCTGAACTGGCTCCATCACTCTGCTCTCCTCCCCACTGAGAGCTGGTGTGCGGGGAGAGTACTGGAGCATCATCCAGGTGGGGCTGCACACTGGTGCTGGTGGAGCGGATCCCCATTACCTGTAAAGAGCTTTGAGTGGAGGGTCCAGAGAAGCGCTGTGGACGTATAAGGAATTATTCACGTGATGTGATGTTTTGTGTCCCCCAGGGCCAGGTCTCCACAGTCCCGGGCAGCCAGAGGCGCTGGGTGCTGCTGGCCGAGTGCCAGAGGCAGGGGGTGGACCTGCTGTACTGCAATCTGGAGGAGCTCCTGCCCTTGCCAGTCGGGGTCCTCCGGGGGCCTGTGGACGCACAGGTGGGCCCCCTCCCGACGGCCAGGCCCGAGGTGGGCGGGGAGCTCAGAGAGGAGGACAGTCCTGTGAAAGCCTCCCACGTGATGAGGAGGAGGAGGTGGCTGGAGCTGAAGGGCAAAGACATGTTCGAGTCCGATTCGGAGTCGGAGGAAGGCTTCCTCTCGCTGAGGAAGACAGCTGCCCGTGCCTCGCGAGCTGAACCCGCGCAGGAGGGGGGCCCTGGTGACCCCGAGGTGCTCTCCATCAAGACTGGAAACGAACCGAAATCCGCAGCAGAGCAGAGGCGCAGCGAGCTGGTGTCCCGCTGCCTGGGCTCCCTGGCTGAGTTCCTGGACCACGCCTCTTTCCTGGACTCCTCCCTCTCCCCGGAGGCGCCGGGCGCGGAGGACATCTGCAGGCGGGGCGGCTTCGCCTGGTCTGCGAGCCGCATCAAGAACGGGCTCTCGGACGAGGAGCGGGTGGACGGGGACCCGTGGTGGAGGCGGGATGACTGCGGGGAGAGGCGGGCCGCCCTGGCGGACCTGAGCCTCCGGAAGTGCCAGGCTGTGCTCTCGGAGTCGTGGGAGGCGTCCCAGGTTCTGTGTCAGGAGCTGGGCCGGGATGCGATCGAGGAGCTGACCCTCCCTGTCGGGCCACACAGGCAGGGCTTTAGCTTCTGCCCGGCCGCGCCCCTCGATCCCAGGTGCTTGTGTTTCTTTATTTGCGTTTGTTCTTTAAGAGCAGGTGTGTGTGTGTGTGTGTGAGAGAGAGAGAGAGAGATCCTGCAGAGCTGTCCCCCAGGACCCGCGGGTTAAAGTCTTCTCTTGCCTGCTGTACGTGCTTGGTCTGGAAGCATCGGAGATGTGGAGTCAGTTAGGCCAGCCACTCCCCACCTCATTTTATGATGCTTTTGAGAGGGTTTTTCCTCAGACGTAACCCCTTGGAACTTGAGTTAAGAGGGATTCCCAGTTCCTGCTCCGTCGCCAACGTGTAACCTGTGTTGCTCCAGTGTCCTGGCGCAGAGGGAAGCAGCGCTGAGGGACGTTTTCTCCAGCCAAGCCTTCGCCAGCCTGGGCAGCAGGCAGGCCGCGGCGGCGGAGTACCTGCCCACCCTGCGCGCCATCTGCCGGTCCGAGAAGCTCAAGGAGCAAGGAAGGGTGAAGAGGAGGTGAGCTTCGCGAGCAGGGCTCTCCGGGCTGCTCTGCTGTCGTGATCGGGCTCTCCTGTTGGGTTTAAAGCTGGCAGCAGCGCTTGGGGCTGAAATGTCAAGATCTGTTTTTTAAGCGATTTTTTTTTTAACTCTCTGCTACCATTACAAATCATAGTAATCATCCTCATCGTAATGATCCCATTCCCATTGTGTTCAAATAAAAGGCCCGCTGCTTTAATTTGCTTCGACCTTTGCTATAAACGGGTTCTGTAGATATTTAGGTCAAGTCAAACTCGTTCAGGACTTTTTGTAGAATTTAACAGTGGGAGAAAATCGTATTATACCGGGACAGGGTTGTTTTCAGATATAAAATCTTGCTTAAGACTTCTGTATCCTAACCATGATTTATCTTTTTTATAATATTCCTGAATAATTTTGCTTAATGGTTTTCTGTTGGAGCAGGTTTACAGAAGCTGGTCAATATTTTCATCTACACATTGATCAGATTGAACATAAACACTGAAATGAAATTCCACAGAAGAGTTAAACACGAGCATCTCATCTCCTGAAGCCTCTCTTAACTTTCACCTTTGATTTCCTGCAGATCTTTTCTGCTTGTCATATTATTTTTTTCCCATCCATGGTGTCACTTCTGGCACTTTCAGTTTCATTAAGATTTTGAAAACATTTCAATCCTTGTTTTTAAATTTTAGAAATGTTGCCCTCATAGTGCATGTGCTCCAAACATACCCGGATTAGACTGATTTTTAAAAGCCTCATTTTCTCTTTGGCAATGTGCTCTTCAGAGCTGCCAGTAGCTGTAACGATCCATACTGGGCCTGGCAAGATCAAACAGTGGAGAATGTTTTATACTGCATATTGACACATTGGGTCTGCTTTGATGGAGGCTGTGGCAGGTCAGTTGCTCTCCAGCTCTGCTCTTACAGTTGATAGCAGTGAAGTAATCCTTGCAGGCTTCATATAGTTTTGATTGTGGGCCCTTTTCTTGGCTGGGATTCCTTGAAAACTGCCTCCCAACAATGAAGATAACATTCATTGAATGGTACATTAAAAAATGATTAATTGCACTTCGAGGTGAGTTTCCAAAACTTAACATCTTGGCCACTGAGTGTCTGGTTTAATCAGTGGGTCAGATAGTAGCAGGTGACTCTAAACACTCATTCCAGAGGCAGTTTCCCACACCGACGCCTGTAGCCGATTTCACACTTTTGTGAATGAGACCAACAATGTTCTTTTTTTCCTTTTGCACTAACAAGCTTGCTCTTGATTGTCTTTCCCAGGTTCCTGCACTACTTTGATGGCATTCACCTATGCCTTCCCAAACACACCATGGATTTCCTGGCTGCAGACTTTCCTTGATCTTAGAGGGTCTGCATGGGACTGTCTCGGTGCCATGAGGTGGTTAAATGCCCTGTTTGTACGATCTTTGTACAGCAGTGGAAATATTGCAGAGATTGTGACTTCTATGTGAATGTCAGTGTACATTTTAACAGTAGCCTTTAGTGTGTGAAGTTTCAATTTTATGTATTTTATTTTTGCATTTCGTTTGATAGAAATAAATTTGCATTTGCTGTTTGACGGCAAAATCATTTGTACAAGATCATATGTAACCTTTGTGTACTGGTGCTATGTGTATATTTTAAATTAATAAGTGGAGGAAATGATACAGCATATGAACCATGTTTTTGTACATGAAAAATACAAGGTGTTTGTTATAATAATGGGGTCTTGAAGTATCTGTAAGCCTTTTCTGCAGGCGACTCTGCTGTATAAGAGGTGCCTGTGATAGGTTAGGTGTAAAAATGACTATTCAGCCCAGACTTTGTTTGGTCTCTAAAGATTCATTAGCACCGTTCTTAAGGTTTTCAACCCCCGTGTCCTGGGTCAGTTCCTCTGGGTCCGGCCTTAAGTAGCTGAAGTATTTCCTTCCCTGTGATCTGCTGTAGCACGGCAGGGGTGGAGAAAAGGGACAAAAAAAAATAAAGTCATCGAGTCAAACATACAAGCAGCTCAGCTGCCGGCAGCAATTAGCACTGGTGTTAACGGGCCCCAGTGGAACAAACCCCAGCACGGAGAAGAAACGGTGCTAAAACTAGGTGCTTTAACACGGGAAGTACTGTGTAATGCAGCAGATGGTCAGTGATGCCAGTGCAATACAAGCCTCGTGTATTTTGACAATACTGTCTGTTCAGTGCCAGCTGTGACCAGGCTCCTCAAGGCTGGTTCTTAAAGCTCGCTGATCTTTTTTTTTTTTTTAAAGATCAGCAAAAGCACCAAAAAGTATTGGTAGCGGCTCCTCTCGGGCCTGTCGGGTGTATAGGAATACAGTTCTCAAGTCTAAAGTGATTTCATACCCACTGTGTTCATCTGCCATCTACTGTTTGAGCAGATCTCCAGACACTGGACTGTGTGTTAACAAAATACTTTTTGTAACCTTATTCACATCTGTTTTTGGAATATCTTTATTAAAAATAAAAAAATGATCACCCTTGCAGTCTGGGCAGGAGGGATGCCTTAAAACAAAGCCTTCATCCGAAATCCAAAACTGTTTTCATGTAGAAGGTTTTCATATATTATCATCCCCAATACCAGAGAATGAAGAGAGGCGAGATCTGTTGTCAGTTCTTTCTTACTGAAACATCACTGCCGCAGGTCCAGAGCACAATCTGTCAATATCCAGAAATGATCATTCAGCTCTGGTTGCAACCCGTGGCTGGTGTGTTGTGACAGTGTGGCTCCTGTAAGTCCTGAGACCACAGGTACAGTTGCAGACCTGAGCATTGCCTCTGCCCCTGAAACCTGCTTAGCCACCACCCTTATACCTTATTAAAACAGAGGTGTCTGTGCCAAGTAAGCCCTGTTAACACACTCGGTTCACCTGGGAGTAGAGGGGTCTGGCAAGTGCAGTAATGTGCCTGTGGTTCACGCAGCACGCCGGCTGCGCTGCTGGGACCGGTCTCCTCCAGGCCGGCGGCGGTGCTACCGTGGCTCTAATGGTTGCGCAGCAGCTCGTAAAAGGCCAGCGCCTGCAGGAGGGCGTCGCACAGCTCCTCCCCCCGGTTCCTCCCGCCCAGCTGGAACAGTTTCCTGTAGCGCACGGCCAGGCCCGGGGGGAAGGTCACGCGGGGGTCCCTCCGGGCCACGGAGTCCACCAGGAGCTGCCGCACCAGCTGGCCGCCGCTGGTCCGGGCGTCGCCCACCAGCAGCCCGAAGTGCCGGCCCACAGCGGCGCGCGTCATGTTGAGCACGCGCGGCGGCCCGCCGGCCGGCCACCGCGCTCCCAGCAGCGCGAACAGCATGGCCTCCACGGTGCGCAGGTGCAGCGTCACGGGGAACAGCGCGGTGTTCTGGAGGGAGATGCCCGGCTTCTCCACTACGAAGAAGTCCGCCTCTGGGATCCTGCTGACCACCGCCGAGATCTGCAAGCGTCCACATGTCTTTTATTTGAAGAGAAAGGCCTGTATGTAGGGGCTGTCTTAATTTAAAACAGGCCAGAGCTTACTTATGAAATAATACCTGTACGTGTGGTTGTTCAATAAACACTTCAGTTGATTCACAATGGATTCTGAAACTGGCATTTTTAAATCTGACTTCAGAAATGCTTAAGAACAATAGAAATGTTCATTACATGAGGAAAGCTTAAACAAACCTGTGCTATAAGATGTGTTTGATCTCAAATTACTCTTAACAGGTTCTCCTGTCCTTTCTGGACCATTTCAGAGAATTTAACCTTTTCTTCCTCCTGCAGCTGGCGGTGTGTTCCAAAAAGCAGCCCTGTTAGCATCACTCAAATCTCAAACCTACATTTTGGTGGGATGAAACTTACATTTTACATCCCACCAGTTTCATCCCTGCAAATATCGGCGCTTCCCTTTAAAAACTCCTAATATTTTTGGCCTCGAACGTTTTAGATGATAAAAAAGGGAACCGACCTCGCAAGAGGCTGTAATTGGAGAGAAAGGGTCACATTTCACGGTCTGTCAGAAAGACAGGTCAAGGAGGGACACAGGATCCAGGGCTCACTTACGTCTTCCAGGTAGGCTGAAGCCATGTAAGTACCATTCATGAAGCTGCTGCACTCCTCCTGCTGCCAGTCCTGCACCCTGAGGCTGCGGTCCATCTGCGCCCAGGCGATCTTGTTCGTGCCACACACGACCGACACGATGCGGTTCGCCTCCTGCAGGACGACACGCAGAGGAGAATGGGCGGCAAGGCTCTGCTGCTGACATCGTTACTGGCTGGTCACAGCTCAGAGCCAAGTGCACAAAATCTGTGTGTGTGTGTGTGTGTGTCACATCTTTAACTCGGTGTTCATTCATGCTACGTTTCAACTTAGACAAAACCGCCTTCCACATGAACTAGTTCAAGAAATGCGTAACGACAGATGATGCTTTTTTTAAACAAAAATTGATCTTTCTCTCCAAATGAATTTGACTTTCTCTTGATTTTTTGGGTTAAAGAGAGACGGTTACTGCAAGCGCAGCGGCGACAGTCACCTCCAGCACTCCCCGGTCCACATCGGGCTTGACGAACCTGGCGGGCTGGACTCGGACTTGGGCTCTCCTCCTCTCCCTCTGCTCCAGGGGGCTGAGAATGAAGTTGAAGACGACCAGGGCCGTCTTGTACTTCAGCCGCGGCACGTTCACCACGCTCTCCAGGTCTGGGAAGGGGCCGTTCCTCCTCCGGTACTCCACGATGTTGGCCGACTTGCGTCCCCTCAGCAGCTTGACGGTGGCCAGCTCGCTCTCCGGGGCCGTGTTGAGCAGCTGCAGGATCTCGGCGCGCTGCTGGGCCGTGTAAAGAGAGTCCAGCGTCTGGCCTTCGCCCCTGCAGTCCGGCAGGGGGGGCCAGGAGCCCGGCCCCTCCAGGTGTGCAGACGCCGCGTGGCTCCTCCAGCGACGCGACCGGGGCTGTGGCTCCGGGAGGGAGCCGGGGGGCCTGCGCAGCAGAGCATGCCGGCCTGCAGGAGAGAGACAAGGACACGGCCATCACACACGCCGCTAAACCCGCTCACCCGGAGACCATCCGCACTGCAGGGGCGCGCTCTAGGAAACACGCGTATATTAGTGCGATTGCGGCAGAACTAGTTTGGGCACGGTGACGTCATCGCCCTCCCTGCGCGTAGCAGGGACCTCAGCAGGTCTCCTTTAGCTCACTCGGCTGGTTCCCTGTTGCGTTGCGCCGGAGACCCAGGTGTTGTGGGGCGGCGGGGGCACCCAATTAAACTCTGCGACATTTAATTCCGTTTCCCAGCTGGAGAAGTCTGTATTTCTCAAAGAAGTGGCCACATGACTTGAAGATGGGAGTATTCAATGAAATGTGACCCCGCCTTTTTGCGAAGTGTTTGGGAAATATTTGGGGATGAAAAGTGTTTTACAAACAGAAACAAACTCTCATCTAAAATGTTAACTTATTTTGAAGGTGTACATTTAAATTATGAATATAAAAGTTTAAATGTTCCCTTCCTGCTAAGAGAAAGGAAACACTGTCTCAAGCATTTCTCAGTTCTGGGCCTGAAGTCAATCTCTGCCTTCTGGGTTTTGTCCCGGGCTGACCTGTTGATGACATTTATTGTACCTTTAATTCAACTACTTGATTTAAAAAAAAATCAGTCTCGGGCCTTAAGGAAGGTTTCAAAAATGGCATTTATCCTGTCCCAGAAGTTAGGATTCAGACTTCCTTCCCCATCTATGAATTGGCTTCATTACTCTGCTCTCCTCCCCACTGATAGCTGATGTGTGGTGAGCGTTCTGGCGCACTATGGCTGCCGTCGCATCATCCAGGTGAGGCTGCACATTGGTGGTGGTGGAGGGGATCCCCATTACCTGTAAAGCACTTAGAGTGGAGTGTCCAGAAAAGCGCTATATAAGTGTAAGCAATTATTATTATTTCTCTCGACTTCTGAAAGACCAAAGCAACACGGGCGCAAGGTCTGCAGTAACAGGCCACAGGCAGCAGGCGACTCTGAGTCCGCGTTAGGTACCACAGGACTGCGTTTCAGAGCATGCTAATTAAATTACAGAACAAGTGTGTCAACTCTTACATAGCAGGCAATGTCTAAGTTCATTCAAAACAGCACGCAAGTATCTCAAAACAGAACGAATATCATTTTTTTCAGGTCATTATTCAAATCAAAGGTGACATTACAAACTAAGTGCTTAAACAGTTCTTAAGTGCGTTTAAAAGCCGGGTCTCGGTAGATCTGAGCATAAGGACTCCTTGCGCGCTGCACGGAACCGGCTTCGTCAAATACTACATTTTACATCCGGCTCGACGCTGCAGACTAAGACTGAGCTTTTCCATCAGTGTGTTTAAAACTGTATCACTATTTAAACGTGTTCACTATGATGACACGCTTTTACTCTCGACATGCCAGAGAAGCAATACGGAGCTACACAACGCAGCGACGCAACAGTCCAGGCATTTGACATCTTGACAAAGAAGAGAGAAACAACTGGCGGCGGTTGCGGTATCTGGGTAAAATGTATCACTCCCGCGTCGGTTCTCCACCTTTTCGTCTGCGTTTAATTACCTTTATTCAACACAGCCAAGAGAAGGTGCTTTGGGAACCACATCCCGCCTCGCACATATTGCTCTCCACACACAGTCGCTAATGTCGCGTCCTCTGGGCAGGTCCGGGGGCCGAGAGGAAACAGCGGCGCTCTTTTCCGTTCCGGGGTACTTTCGTTCCGCAGCTTTCTGCTCCCTGTGTTGATAGGGCGTCAGGTGTTCAGCCGAGGGCCGGTGAGATCGCGGATGAATTAAACCGGTTTAAATGTGTTGCTGCTGATAAACACCAATTATTTCGAAGTGCTCTTCATACTGTAGTCCATTCGTGTAATTGCTGATTTTTGTATTATTTCACAAGAACCTAACTTCGATTTCTTAATTTTGATTATTTCTTTATACAAAACCCACTTAACAACCTTTGCATTTAAATTCGTCATGCTTCTAGTGCTTTTGCGTGGAGCAAGACACGTCAAACACGTCTTGCTTTTTGCTCGCGTTCGGGACAAATTTGGTCCGGCTTGTAGGCAGTAATAATTTGGAATTATACTGAAAATGATAGGGAATTGTGCCGCTGACGGGTTGTTGACCCCTTTGTAGTGAAAATCAAATTGCACCCATAAACACACATCTTTATTAATCCCCGTTCTTTTCCAAATTATTCTTTTTTGTGTGCTACTGTGTATCGACTGCGCCCAGGTCGCGGCAAGGCGCGAACTGTCACCTCTGACATGAAAATGATAAACGCCAGTAAATGTATTTCCCTAAGTTCTTCGTTATATAAGAGTCGCCTAGCAGCGCGTATTTCACTTCCCCTCGTCCACCGCCGTGTTTCTGAGTGCGCAGGCGTGGGGACCCGAAAGCTCAGCCCTGGGCCGGCAGGCTGTCCGGGGCAGGAGCGCAGAGCGGGGCGCCTCTCCGCCAGAGGTGTCTGGATGACCAGCGCGGCTCGGCAGTACACGACTGAGTTAGAGACAGTGAATGGTCTGGTTTTCTACAGTTCACTCAGCCAAGATCCGAGCAATCCTGGAACGGTATACCGCGGGGGAATATTTCTTCAAGGCTATCAGCGCATTACTTAAATACATACTTCTTATACCCGCTTTAAATTATACTGTTTGAAGAGGAAACGTTTTTCGAATTCAGCGCGTTTACCAGGAAAAGCCCGTTGAATGCATTGCACTGTAACGTGTCGCGGCAAAGGTAGACCGAAGTTCTCCCGACGCGGCGGCGGCGGGGGGGAGAGATTTGATAAGGAAGAAATATTTTGACGACCATGGCCAACCGGGACCGAAACAAGAAAATCCTCCTGGAGCTGGTGAAGCAGCCGGACAACAGCACCTGCGCAGACTGCGGAGCGCCAGGTGAGTGACGCGCAGCGCACCTGCACGGCCCTGGACGTGCGGCTCGGGTTTACCTTTCCGGAGACAAGCAGAAATAGTCACGGCTCTTACACAGAGTGTGTTCTGATTTGCGGGGCTGTTGAGTCCGGGACCGTAGTGATTATCCCGCAGCGCTGAGTTACCACACAAACATGAATCTTGCTTCTCGTAGTCTTTCACCGCTTCTAGCTGAAGACACTTCTCGGTGGCACAGTGAACTGGGCACCAGTGGTTAATACTGGAGGGGTTAAACTCTGGCGGCTGGCAAGTTTTTCTGATTGTGCCCTGTAGAAATGGGGCAGACAGATGGTTTGAGCTGCAGGACACAGGAATGGACCCCGTGTGAGCGGTATTGCGGGAACTTTTTATTTTGTTATGAAGAAAAGTCTTAAATCTGGATGTTTCCCCCTTAACGTGCTGGCAAAAACAAAAGGCTGAAGGGTTCGGGTAGAATAGCTCAGCTGTCTGGGAGCATCCCCCCTGGAGGGATAATGACTCGGTGTCCAGCAGAGAGCGCAGCTCCACACGGCAGGACGCGCAATTTCCCCGCGTGTCCGCAGGTCCTCCCCAGCGCGCAGTGAAACGAGGAACCTGAAGGTGCTGACGAGAAACTTTCACTCCGAGCCGAGGCGACGTCTCCTGATGCTCGTGTTCTGTTTTTTTTTCTTTATGCAAATAAACACCGAGTGAGTTACGACGTGTCACCAATGGGCGTTAAGCGTTTGAATGAACCTTTTTTTTTAAAAAGGAGAATTTTCTAGATTGTTGCGCTCTTCAGTGGCTGATGCATTTTTTTAGAATCACGGGGGGGCAAAATTAGCCGTGTTCCTTAATTATCTTAATTATTTCATTTTCTTATTCTTGTAAGAAGTGACTTGATTGGTACAGTTAAGAACTAGGAACCTGCCTCCGACACACCCTGAGAAGGCAGACCCGGTGTGTAGTTTCCTCAAAGCTGAGAATGTGTGGGGGGCGGGGTGGGCTAGGGGGGTAGTCCTGAGTTCCCATTCCCCTTTTTCTGCGGAGGAAGGAGGAACGGGCAGCGAGTGGGCTGGGGGGCGCAGAAGTTGCACGGAACTCATTCAGGCTCCTCTCCACGGAAATCTTCAGTAAAAGGCGAAAGATGTGGAGGAGATGAAAGCCGCAGCAGTAACCCCCCCCCCAAGGAGGAGCGGTGAGGATGATGAGCTCAGGGGGTCTGGGGGGTACAGGGAGAGGTCCCGGGTTCCAGAGGAGGCTGGGCTGCAGTGTCCTCATTAACGAGCCGCCCGAATCGCAGGTCTGAGCAGCCAGTCTGGGTCGGGGGGGACGCGGGCCGGACGAGAGCGCGGGCCGGGGATCTGATCAGGCTTGCACAAGGTGGAGGTCTGAGGCTGCGGCCGCAGGAGACTGGCCTCGCCTTTCCACAGTCCCAGCCGGAGCCCCGCCTGCTGCCCCTTGCTCAGCGAGCCTGAGGGAACGGCTGCCCTCCTCAGGGGAGCAGCCCCAGCCCCCCGTCTGCGGCTACACGACCTGCTACCCTGCTGCTCCGCCCACACACCGGCGAGTCTGGGCCGCTCGTTTCCTTCAGCAGCTCAGAGTCGGGACTGTGGTCCCAGTGAAGAGCCCAGCCTCACGCTAGAGGAAACCAGCCAGGCCAGCCTGGGGCTGCTGCTGTCTCCGCAGCGCGAGAGTAACGTCTCTCCCCGTCTCCTCCGCTCCCCACAGAGCCGGACTGGGCGTCCTACAGCCTGGGCATCTTCATCTGCCTGAACTGCTCCGGGACTCACCGCAACCTGTCGGGGGTCAGCAAGGTCAAGTCCATCCGCCTGGACTTCTGGGACGACGAGCTGGTGGAGGTACCGGTCCAGGTGTCCAGGTCCGGGGGGAGGGGTCCAGTCACGGCCGTGGGTCTGTAACCCATCTGTAGGGGGCCGCACGTCCTGACCTTATTCAGAGAAAACTCCAGATTCAAGCAGTTGCGAGATTTCTTATTGATTTCTTCCGGCAACAGTGGAGCAGACCGAACCGCTGTGCAGCGGGAGTCTGCCCCCTCTCTCGCCTCCCTTAGAGCAACCTGCTTGAGCCAGGAAACACGTTGTCGGGCCCCCGTTTCTCTGATTGCGCTCCTCTCCCTCTCGTCCGAAACTGCAGTTCATGAAGGCCAGCGGCAACGCGGTGGCCAGGGCCAGGTACGAGAGAGCCGTGCCCCTCTTCTACTACCGGCCCCTGCAGAGCGACTGCGCGTGAGTACACATGGGGGGCGTGCTCTCGTCACACCGCCAGCGTCTGAGCATTTCGCTTCCTGATGAAACCCCACAGGGGTTCGTTCACACAGGCGCCAGCACACATCATCATATCAGTGCAGACCCATTGAGGAAAGAAACAGCTTTTCATGACGCAACGAGGCAAGATGCTGCCTTTAAAACTCCCTGTTTTGCATGTATAGAAGGTCAATAGCTCTGTCCTTGAATTGAGTTGTTCGCCTTTCAGGTGAAACAGACAAGAGCTTTACTTTAACAGAGCCACTGGAGAGAGCACTTCTGTTGATGAAATGAGAGGAAATAATGAGGAGTCAATTAGGGCAGTTGCAGTGGGAAGTGCTGAAGGGAGCTGCCTAAGAGGCTTCAGTCCTGGCAGTGGGGAGTTTAATGTGCTCTTGGGCTCGAGCCCCGTCAGATGGATCTGTGACAAAGGCTCTTCTGGGCTGGCCGACAACACGCTGGAGTCAAGAGAGAGCTGGGTGAATCCCACTAAAGAGTTTCATTTTTTGCTTAATCAGCTGAAATAAAAAATGTTCCTCATCAGATTGCGTCAGTAAAGAAATGCAACTCTGCAGTTGTGGTGTCATTTAGGGAAGCAGAAGAACAATGACCCAGAATGCCAGCACAGAAGCAGAGGAAGAAAAGCCTTTCCAGTGGGTAGAGTTACAGAAAGAGCCCTGATAAAAATAGAGCGAGCAGTTCCCTTCACAGAAGGAGAAACACGAAGGATCTGTTCTCGCTGAGTCTGAGCACACTCTGCACAGATATTCCTTCACCCTGCAAGTGAAATATTCGATATTCTAATCAGATAAGATCACTTTATCGGCCATATACAATTTCTTATATTAGGAATTTGTCTTTTTGCACCAGTAAGGCAATGGGAAAGGATATTAAAATATAGACAATTCATGCAAAACAACAACCAGATCAAAATGCTCACCTCGGCTTCTGTGTGCGTTTGTTGCTCTGGGCCTGGGGCTGCGGAGCTCACGGCGTGTTTCTCTACAGGGTGCTGAGGGAGCAGTGGATCAGGGCCAAGTACGAGCGCAGAGAGTTCACCGGAGACGAGGTGACGCGCCAGGAGACCTACGGCTCTGGTAAAGCCTCTTCCTGCCTGTGTCTGTAGCTTTACTCCTCTTCCCCTGCAGCGCACAGCGGCTCCAGGCCAGCTGCTGCCTCTTCAGGTCGTAGGGAGCCCCCGACCGGGGCTCCTGCAGTGCCGTGTGGTGAACAGCGCATTAAAATGTGTGTATGCATCCTGGTCAAGTTCTGTGAGTGTCCACTTGTCTTCTCCTGAGATTGTACTCACGGAATTGGACTCAGCCTGGAGCTCTGAGACCACATGATGCATGCTTCAGAAGAAGAAGGATTGTTGAATCTGTTCTGTGTTTTTTTTTTTTTTGGTTTGTTTCTCCAGGCTCCTATGAAGGAGTCCTTTGGAAAAAGGGGAAGGACAATGGGCAGTTTTTAAAACGAAAATTTATCCTGTGTGAAAGCGATTTTACCTTGAAGTACTACACCAAGGAAGAAGTGAGTAAAGCCGTTGTGAGCCTGCAGAGGGAGGGGCTGTAGCTCGTGGTAGGCCTGCAGCCGGGGGAGCCTGACTCTAGGGACCTGAGCAGAGAGCAGGAGAGCACAGTGACATCACGCTCAGGAACAGAGAGCGGCACTGGAGCTTGATGCAAGCTCTCAGAATCCACTGCAAAACAAACCACCTGCACGGCAAATACCTGCAGGAATACTGTACGTACCTGCAGCTGTGAGCCCGTTCACTGGATCAGACGTGCAGCCAGATTGGTGCAAGAAATTCTCTCCATCTGTATCCGCAGGGTGTTTCAGAGGTGCTGTCCAGCAGTGTGCTGAGCTGGGCCCTAATTTGCCATGTCAGTTTAGTAGACTAACCAACGCACCACTGGATAAACAAAGGATACTTCAACGGTGTGACGAATTGTATCTTTTATTAGCTACAGGAAAAATATTCAATCCAAGCTGCAGATACGTACAGTGAAAATAGCTTCAGTTGCGCAATGAGGATGTTGCATGTTAAAAAAGCGAAAGTCCTTCACTGTAAAAATGTCCATCCATCCATTTTCTGAGCACTTTATCCAGTTCGGGGTCGCAGGGGAGCTGGAGCCTATCCCAGCAAGCAAAGGGCACAAAGCAGGATTCACCCTGGATGGGACACCAGTCCGTCGCAGGGCACACACGGACACAGACACACGCACACTGATACGCATGAAGAATAGAATGACCTGATGTGGTTGGTGAGCTCGGGTGGCAAGATTTGAGTGCCAAGCTCCGGAGAGCAGGTCTGCTCCCTGCTGTTGCTCTGGCTTTAGGAGCTGCAGGAGTTCCTGTCTGCAGGAGCTGCACTCTCTACCCCTCAAGGCCTCACTGACAGGAGTCTTTGTTTCCTCTAGTCCAAGGGTCCTAAAGCCATCATCTACATCAAGGACTTGAACGCCACCTTCCAGCCGGACAAAATCGGTCACGCCCACGGACTGCAGCTCACTTACCTGCAGGACGAGCACACCCGAAATATATTTGTGTACCACAACGACGCTCAGGTAGAAGCACTTCCTGCTCTGGGCCGGGTCTGGGCCGGGCGGGGTCTGGGCCGTGAAGCCCCTGTGAGTGGTGCAGCAGACAGCAGGGCACAGTGCCTCTGGGGCTGAGCCTGCACCGTCAGCGGTGAGCGCAGCCTCTCTCCTGCCCCCTGCTGGAGCTGTGGGTTTTGCAGCGGGAGAGTCTGTGAATGAACTGAGGTGCACCTTCGGATGTTTGGAAAACATCTTCACCTGCCCTGGACCTGTAAGGGGGGGAGGTGGTTTTTTACTCTGAGGCAGGGGAAGTAAAGGTTTACTTTCCACTGGTTTCGGAGCGGCGGCGCCCTGGTGGAGAATCTCTGTGCTGCCTGGGGCTTTTGGTGGTGCCCAGGCCTGTGTGGAGATGTTAGTGCTCCTGCCAGTGTCCCGGGACAGTTGGTGCTGGTGGTCAAGGCTGAAAGCCAGTGGGGCAGGTTACTGGTGCAGTCTGGTATCTTGGCGGGTGGATCACTATAGTCCTTCAGTCTGTCTGCCAAGTGGGGGGTGGGGGGGTGGAACTCCAGTTTCCCAAAAGGACAAGCTGTCTTTTGCATCTCTTTTAAAACTGAGAATAAACGGCTATCTGGCCAGTAGCCCTTCATCTCTCCATTTTAAAGTTGAGGGTCTGAACATGAAAACCCTCTCTCCTGCTCCAGGAGATCGTGAACTGGTTCAATGCCATCCGAGCCTCCCGCTTCTCCTACCTGAAGATGGCGTTCCCCACCACCAGCAGCAGTGAGGTGAGGAGGGCTGTGGGGGGGCTGTGGGGGGGCCGAGCAGAGTTTGGGTGAAGCCGTGTGAGGCTCCACTGTGACAGCGAGGCTGCAGTAACATCTCTACAGCTGTTTCTCATCAGTGTCACCAGCAGTGTGTTGCACACTGCCTTTCTTGCCCTCATGCAGAGAGTGAGATGTGAAAAGAACCCCAAAACGCAAAACGTGCACAGTAGCCCACAGAACCATGTTAATATTTTTTTTTTTACTCATTTCATTTTTTCAGTTAAAGGGTTTTGTTTTAAAATCAGATGAGTTTTAGAAAAGTTTTTTTCAGAATGATGCTCAGTCAGCCCATCACAACTGTATTAACCAGGAAACGAATTTTAACAACAATTTTGAGCCACTTCATCTCTCTGCCAGTTCTCAGTAAGTGTGTTTGTGCTTGCGACTTCCTGTGGCCACTCAGAAATTTGATCAAATGTTGCTTCAGCCAAAGAAGTTCTGCTTGTTTATATTTAGATACAGACCCTGAGCTGAGTTGGTTTATTCATCACCACAACATTTCTGTTTTTAACCTGCATTAAGAATCGCATTTGTGTTTATTTTCGAGAATCTGTTAAAGAAAACACTTTGCTTTCTTCACGGTCTGTCTCTGCCTCCAGCTGCTGCCCTGGGTCACCCGCAGCTTTTTGAAAGAAGGTTACATGGAGAAAACCGGCCCGATGGTATGTGATCTCCGAACGGATCAGTGTTCGGTCCGCCCTGGAAAGATGCCAACTACAGCCCTCAGTTCCAGAATATTTCAGATTTCTCTCATCTGTCTTTCTGTCTCATGAAGGAATCGTTTTGTTAAAACAGAATCTGTTTCCATGACTGTAAGCTCTCACAGATGCTGTTGCAGTTTGCGAATGGGGGGAACATCCTGAATAATGTCTCTGGGCCCTCAGCCCTGGCCGGTGAGACACCTGGTCAGTCTGCGGGCCAGTGAGATGACCGGTCACTCAGTGAGATAGTGTGACTGGTCAGTCTGCGGGCCAGTGAGATGACTGGTCACTCAGTG